TGATTTATCAGATTTTTTTTCGCTGGAAAATATGCGCCACTAATCTTCTAGAAACTACGCAGATTGCGTATCTTAAATTCATGCATTGAATAAACTTGTGTCATGCGCGTATACATATATTTTATACTAATCTATTTTTTCACGCCATTATTTATCTCTACACAGACACATGTATTAAAAATCTCGGCGCGAAAAAAAAGACTCACCTTACACGCTAACACACTGAGTACTCGTTCGTGAAGATTCATGATAGGATGATTGCCGCATTTATATCGATTAACGGCGGGATCGGTGTGCAGACCGACGATGAGGTAGTCCCCCTCCCTCTTGGCGACCTCCAAGAAATCCAAGTGTCCCACGTGGAAGAGATCGAACGCCCCCGCCACGTACACGATCTTATCGCCCGGCTGTGGACTCTTGCCGTCGCTGAACTGTATGATTTTCTGCGTGGTCGGCAGGAATTGCGAGCAGCCGGTCCACGGACTCCGGGCGGTTCGATCCTGACCCATGCTCTTGCTCGGCTCCCGGTCAACGCTGTACTCGTTATCGCCCCGTCGAAAGTGCTGTCGTGTCATCAACAGCATACGTCCAACGAGATCGGTCGTCGAGACGCCGGCCGTGCGCTGGACTTCTCTGAAAAAAATAATCACGAGCCCTCCTTCTTAGTAAAAGACTATACATAATCTTTTAAAGAATATTTAAATAAAATAATTAGTTTTTAGAAAAACTACCTGTAGCGACCAGCTGCCTTAACTAAATGGTACGTGTCGACGCCGTCAGCCGTCATTGTGATATCATCGCCGTGAACACAAAAATCACAGTTATATTTGTCTAATGTTTCTAATGTAGTCACGTAGGGCGCAGCCTCGACTACTTCGTCTACCCATTTAATGCCTCGCACCATTTTGTACCTAAGAAAAAGAAAATCCGCTCGTTAGTACTCGTAATTAGTATATTTATATGTAATCATTATTGTGTTATTTTATTGATATGTGTATGTAGTATGTTATTTATTGATATAGTATATTATTTATTAATATATGTATGTAGTATGTTATTTATTGATATAGTATATTTATATGTAATCATTATTGTGTTATTTTATTGATTTTATTGTACGCTTATCATTGCAATAAGAACTTTTGCAAAAACAATTTTAAATTTCGTTATGAGAGTTTGAAAGGAGAATGGAAAATTTTAATATATACTCGTATCCGGTATAATCTTGCGCGATTGTAATCTGTAATTATCGCAGAAGAAAG